AAAAAAAAAAAAAAAAAAAAGAAGTACTGACAGTGAGTCACTTCCATTTGCAGGAGTGAGTTTACTACTTTCGTGTATTGAGAAGAAATAGATAAGCATCATACCCTAAAACCCAGTGATGGGGAACCGTTTAGGCTTTCAATGATACAAACAGCCTGCTGAGGATCACATGCCCTAGGTTCGCCACCACTGACCTATGTGTCAATGGTACCTAAACCTCTCTCTCCTGGACTCTAAACCCTTATTTCCATCTGCCTACCAAGTATCAAGTCCTTCCTGAATAGTCCACAGATGTCTCAATTCAAACTCTCTAAAACCAAATAGCCCCTCAAACAACGTGCCTTTCCACACTCCCAATCATTATTTAGCTGGCTGGTAACACTGGAATCCTAGCATTCTCTTGCTACTGCTTCCTTTCCTTCAAAACTACTATTCACATGCTTAACTCTGAGCTAACACAACTGTCCACGTTGTCACCTTCTAATGCTTGAGTTACTGCCCTAACTTCCTACCTCGTATCCCTGTCACTGATTCTGCCCCCTACACCCACTCTTCACCCTAGAAGGATTATTACTCTAAAACAAAACAAAAAAACAAAAAACTGCATTATTTCTCTTTTCAAAATTTCAGCTACTCACAGGGAAAAAAAACAACGTGGGACTTATGGCCAGTAAGGGAGGTTCAGAAAGTAAAGATGACCAATTCCACAGCCCAAGTCACAAGAATCCCACTTTGGTTCTTGTAGATCAAAACACATGGTGGGGCCAGGGATATAGCTCAGTGGTTCTGCTGCCTGCTTTGCAAACACAAAGTCTTGAGTTCGATCCCTGGTAACAAAAATAAACAAACAAAAAACAAAAACATGGGAAGGAAAAAACAAAAGGATATTTGAAACGAAAGCAGGCTAACATAGCTCAAAAAGAGCAGGGCCAGGCTCTTCCAGCCAGGGCCTGAAGGTTAAAGGGCTGCCAAAAGAAAGCCAGGGGACAAACTACCTTTGAGGTAACCCAGGGAAAAACTCAATGAAAACGTCCAAGTTGCTTTGAGCAGGAACCTGACTAAGCCACCTCCCCCAAAATGCACATGCTTGGACATATGAGCACGTTCCACACCCTAGATACCATCAGCACCAACTTCAAGGTTCCCTTGGAAGCCCAAATAGCCAAACCCTTGGTCAAGTAAGTCCTCAAAGAGCAGGTAGGAATCCACAGCAAATTGGCCTGGCCAGATTACACCCCTACCAAAAGAACAAAACAGCCTTTCAGCACATCTAGAAAAGGTCAGGGACTCCGGGGAGTCCAGCAGAATGTGAAGTTATGCAATCTCCCCAATGACACTGCCTCACTGATTACTTCTTAATCACAGGCGGTTTAGATAAGGCTTGGGGCCCCAGAAAGTTTACTCAATCTGGCCTCTTTGCCACCATACACCCTAAAATGGAAGCAAGGTACTTCCACTTTCTATAAACATCACTCATGCTGTTCCCTCTGATCAGAATCCCTTTGCTCAGTTGAGAAAACTCCCAGCTGCTGCCCACTCCAACTACCAGCCCTCACCCTACCTGCTTTCCAAGGGTTTGCAGTAGCCCCTTTAGGGGGCGTAAGCTCGAGAATGACTGTTAGTCATCTCTCATCTTCCATTCCTCAGTGTCCAGCTGCCCTGGGTGCTCCAGTCCTGTCTGTTGAATGAATTTATAAATCAGCTCCCCTTCTTCTTTGATATGATAGCAGAAAAGGACTGCATTACATTAGAAGCTATTCTAGTCTCAATCCAGTCACGTCAGACTCTGGAGGGAAACTGCACTCACCTCTGCAATCATGCATAAAGGCAGACACAGAATGAGAAACACTCCATACCTCTGCTGGGCAGGTTAGGGCAACACATCAGGGACCTCTATGGGGTGGCCAGGGGGATGGACTGTCATCCAGTGTCCTGAGTACTTAGGTTCAGAATGTAAGGGCTACCCCTGATTTACTGGATGAATCAGAGCTATGAAGGGGAAATGATACATTATTCATAAGATAACAAGCTTGAGTCCCAAGGAACTCATTGTAGATTAAGATCTAAAGAGTCCACAAAGTGCTAAACATAAAAAACTGGAAATTAAACAAATACCACTGGGCACTGCCTACAGCTCTGTGGTATATCCGCTCAGGAGGGAGAGAAGAACCCAGGGAAAGGAGACCAAGGAAGAGTAAGTAAAAATGATGGACAGCCTGCCTGAGGAAGAAAGCACCAAGGCAGATGTCTGTACCTAAATGGCAGGGAGACATAACTGACATCCACCAAACAGGCTGATGCAGTAGGACTGATAAGGACTTCTCAATGGAAGAGTCATTTTAGTCACAAGAAAATTTTGCCCAGAGATGTAAATCAGGACAAAATATAAAATATTTCAAGAAAAATCTATCTAATGAAAACTGTAAGAAATCTGTGATAAAATGTGAAATAGATGCAAAGCATTTCTGCTGCATACCAAAAGACCACAGCCACTTTAAGGAAAAGCACTTACTTGTACAATGGTTGCTGCACTGTGAACTCAACTAGCCACATTTTTCATGGGATGTCATTTTTACTTGAAAAAACTGACACATTATGGTTATATTAGCCTATCTGATCTATGAATCCCCAAAATGAAGAAAGTCAGCCTGACTCATCAAGAAAAACTGACATTTGATGCCAATAAAAAAATTCAAGCTTTCAAGAGAAAATATGAATTTTGGAAAACCCATTCCCAATACTTAATGACACATATAGAAGATAAATGAGAAAGCTTCCTTTTTCTTTCCTTTTGCTAAATGGCACAGGATTTCAGAAATACATACACTCTGGGTCAGAAAAAAAGATTTGAAACATCATCATAAAAGAAAGCAAAAGTAACATATTCATATATGAACTCCCCCAAAATAGGATGACTATCTTGGTAAGACCTGGAATTCTGATTTCCTTTGGTTAATTTTTGAGGAACATAACTTTAAAATATTAACTCAAAATATGAAGAAAGAAGTGTTGTGTAAGTACAAAAAAAAAAGAAAAAACTCTAAAATCTTTCAAAGTTAAATGGCTGGTCAAATAATATCCCCCAGAGATATCCAACTTTTTACTTACATGAGAAAGTAATATTGCTATATAAGGAGAAGTTCATAAGATTTCAAAAGAAGGCCAATTTTTTTTTAATTTAAGAAAAGCCTTTGCTGAATAAGTTGGATAATACTGTATCAAATCTATTGAATGACAGAAAAGGTAGGAAATATAACTGACAATACTAAATTACTATGTGGTAGGATAAATACAGACTTTTGTCTTACTTGAAATTACTTGAAATATATTTAAGACCAATGAAAAGTATTCCTACACAACATATATTTCAGCCACAACAAAATTCTGTTCCAGCTGTACTTCAGATTGATATATGAATCATTGTCATTAATTTTCCAGGCTTCGGAGGGTGTTTTTCATTGATGTTTGCTTTAAAAATAAATGCATTAAAGAAAAATAATGATAAAATATTCATACTTCGTCAAACTTTACCCTAAAGCTTCTATTTGGGGACACACTACAGTGTCAGCAACTCACACTTTCTCAAGTATCGTTACCTATTTTCTTATCTGAATCTAAAAATTTAATAATGAAAAAGCCACTAATTTTTTAAGAGTACAGGTGGAGTCTTTTTCCCTCTTCCCTGTAATTTATTACAATACAATTCATTACACCCAATACAATGCCCCATTAGGAACTCCATTTCAAAATTCTTCAGGTGTTTTACCTCTGTGAGAGGCATTAACCAATACGTTTTTGGCTAACTCGGGAAAATGGCACTATCTCAAAAGACTACTAGTGTCCAAGACAAAATGGTCGGAGATGCACACAGCATCACTAAGTAATGTAATATTAGATACACAATAACCAGACAAACGCAGAAGTTTTGAAATTGTGTTTTTTTAATAACCACATGAAATTCCCGTGTTTCTTCACTAGAATAATGCCATGGTATGTACTTGTCAGCAAAAGGAGGAATGAGGAATTAGAACATCTAATTTTAAAAAGCCCATTCAAGTAGATTTTACAATAGGGTATTTTGGACCAAAGACCAAAAGTGCTAGGCAAAACATTAAAATTTCAAACTACAAACTGCCTTGCAGAATCACTTTCATCGCTATCTTACCTCAGAAGTCACCCTAACAGGTAGCGGAGACAAACCACCCTTGAGAAGCAGACTAACATAACACCATTTTGATAGGACAATTCTGCCAGCCCCTAAGACCTCCTGAAGTACGGCACAATTTCCTCTGACCCCATTCTTAAAAAGTGACCTAGAACACTAGACCGCGTACACCTTCGGCCTCAATCACATTCCCCGCTGCTGGGTTTTCCACATTTCTACAAGCAGTTATCACACCCGAGGGTGTTTGAATAAAACTGTGATTCGGCAGGGAGCTTAAGCTGAGACACTTGCTATTATTAAATGGATAAAGCTGTCATAAACAAGAAAGCGATCGCAGCACCCAGGGCCATCATATCTGATTTTGATACTTCCACGGAATGCAATTTTTTAAAGTTATTTAAGAGCACATTAGCAAAACTCACACCGTAAATCCATGCCCCCAAGCTGCTGATGTGAAATAGCAGTTCAAACCAAATGCCTTCTGCGGGCCCGGTGGACACAGCTTCCCACCCGAGGTACCGTCCTCGGACAGCCTTGGTTTCCTCCGGGGGGTGCGGATGGGGTGAGGGTGTGTCTCGGTACTCACCGATGCCCGGAGCCACATAGATGAAGTAGAGACAAGACGAGGAGAGGGAGAAGAAGAAGATGAAGGCGAGGAGGGAGCGATTGGAGACCCGCATCATCCGCCGAAGCACAGACATCTTCCTGTCCAGGCCAGCAGCCGGCTGCGCTCTCAGGCTGGACTCGGGGCGACTGTCCAGGCCCTAAACTTCCATGAAGGTCCTCAGGAACCCCGAGGACCCGGCAGAGTCCGCGCCAGGAGGCGCTGGGGCCGGGGAAGTAGGGGCAAGGAGAGGAGGGGAGGCGGCGGCGGAATGAATGGGAGGCCGGGCAGGCGGGGTAGGAGAGGCGCGGAAGGGCGCGGAAGGGCGCGG